TTCTTTCCCTTCCATCCTTAATATACTAAAAAAAAATACATTAAAAGCCTTTTATGAACCTCTAATGCAATTTGTTTTTCATATTTGAAAATTTGTTTATAAAATATTTATAGCAATAAATGTAGCTCCTGGCCGAACATATGACCTCAACTATACTTTGCATCCATTCTTCATAATATAAACTTAAGAGTGTGATGTGGTTAAACAACTAGATTACTATATAAAAGCCATCAGTCTCTGTTATTAGAAAAGCAATGAGAGGACCAGTCTTGATACTCATGGTTTATGCTCTTCTAGGACTGTTTTAGGACTATCATTCAAACAATGCTCAGTTTAACCTTCCTCTAGACGTGTGCAAAACAGATGTAAGACTGTTTGTATGGTTCCAATAATTCCAACTTGATAAAAAAGCTTCAAATGTGTCTTTATTTTGCATCAAATGCTCTATTACAGTGATATTCATATGGGAATTAAAAGTGGTGATCTGTGATATTCAACCAAACATACCACCTTTACTTGCTCTTTAATCCACTCATTTTCTTCTGAGATACAGCTGTCAAATAATCAGAACAAATCTTCTTATCACATTTAAACTTCAGAAACTTATTTTGTTTTCTCTATTGCTAAATTCTCAGAGCATAAACTTTTGGTTCCCAAAAGTAATTTCTGAGTCTTGAGTTGAGCCAATTTTTGTAAGTATAATACGTAAAATGATGAGGTTGGTTCCTAAACCCAGGATTAAGGCAAGAGTTTTTTATTCAATTTATAGATGAGTATCATTGCACAAGTAATTTACGAAATTATAAATTGCAACCATGCTGTCATTTTTTAAAAACACATAAGTTAAGCCCACAAATGGAACTATATTAGGATACTGTTATACAAGCATCTACCTACAAATTAACAAAGAACTGTCAATAAATTTTTTAAATTCAACTTTAAGTGCTCCAGAGTTTAGACAGATGTTATCCTACTTTCTCTGAGCAGCTGTTCATTGGACATGTTCCTTATTTATTGATATACTGTGTTCAATGCTAGTGTCACATTTCTTAAACAGGAACTTGGCAACTTCCAAATTCCATGGTAAATATTGACGTATCTCAGCATGTCAATATTTATACTGCCAACACTTTGATGAGTCTCCTCAACAATGGCTGCATCTTATTTCTTAGCAGCCACTTCTGTTCCAATTGAGCAAGGTCTTTCTTTATTCAACAGCATCCTCTCACACAAAGACCAGATTGACTCTCTGGCTTATTTCAACATTTTGGACACTTTTACAGGGTTAGTAAAGTTCAAAGAAACAAGGCACAAATTTAGGAATAGTCGTTTTTGATTACTTGATCCCAAGCTTAATCATCATTTTCAACCCCACTGCTGCAGCCGAAAACCGCTGAGGCCTTTTCAGAATTTATACTCAGATTATTTCCTTTTCTGTTAGTCCTAAAGGCTATCCAGCATTACAAAAAAGACTGGTTTACGGACTACAACAATGATGATAATATTCAGGGGACAGTTTAAATTCAGAATGTTTACCATAAAAGGTAGTTTGAGGTCTGGTTCATTATCTACAATTAAACTGTTTTAAATACAGAATTACCTTACCTAATTTTTGTGCCAAGTATCAGAAATTATGTTAACAAACTAATTATCTTTAACTCAACCTTAACAACAAATTTCCATATCATTGTTAGAAAAATCTTCACAATATCTTGAAAACAGCCCAGGATTCCCCAATGGCACACAACCAAAAGTTTACTTTAAAGCTATTGGCAGGACTGGCAGCTAGCAAAAGCACGGATGTCTCATGAGCAGTTTGGAATTCCAGCATGGATTTCCCCTTTGAGGCAACAAAAGTCTCAAGGGTGTTCTTCCAAAAAGAGCCCCGTCTCATCAACATTAAAAACTGCTGACTATAATAACCCTCTGTTCATCTATTTCAGCCAATGTCTTAGGAAAAAAAAAGCACAACTCATGTTCTCATCAGCGCTGGCAGCTTCACAAATGACAAGGAACAAATTGCCCTGGACTATAAAATGCATTAACTACCTCCTACCTGTATAAAAACTATCCTTCTATTATTTTAAGGACAGCCACCTTTTCCTAGAAAACAAGGTATAGCAAATAGACCATCGGTTTTATACTCAAAGAGTCAGCTTGAGATCAAAACTCTACTGCTTCATAGCTGAGTGACTTTGGTCATGCTATTAATGCATTAAAAACATTCACTGACTGCTTCCTATGTACCAGGCTTTGATATCCCCAGAATGAGTTAAGACACATTCCCACCTCTCGAGTGAGATAAAAACACCCAAAAATAAATCATTTTACAAGCTTGTAAAGTGCAGAGGCAGGGTGATACCTCCTCTCAAGAGTTCACTTAAGCCAGCCTGACATTTCGGGGAAGGCTTCCCTGAGCTACACCTGATATGAACCTTAAAAGGTGAAAAGGAAAGAGATAAGAAAAGGCATTCCATGCAGAAGACCCTGCATGATGAAAGGCTTGGAGGCAAGAAACAGCATAATACCTGGACACGATAAACAATTCAATGTTTCACAATGACTGCCAATCAAGGGTGACTAAATTCAAATACCCAGTAGAGTTCATTCATTCAACCAAAGCACGTGCACTTCTGTGCATCAGACAGTGCTTTAGAACTTGGCATAAGGAAACAAAACAGATAACAATTCTTTCCTGTATTTTAATAGATCAAAAATGAAAAACCACCTAATAAATATGTAAAATACATAGTAAGGTGATAAGTGCTAGAGTAAAAAGAGAAGATACACAGGATAGAGAAAACTGGGAGTACAGAGGCCAGTGGGGGAAAGGGGGATAGTTGCAAAGCTGCAATTTTAAATAGGAGGTTGAGGTAAGCTTTATTGAAAAGGTGATATTTGAGCACGTACATAAAGATCAGTTGTGTGGATGTCTGGGAAAAAGCATTCCAAGCAGATGAAGCAGCCAGTGCAAAGGCCCTAGGGCAGAAGTGGGCTTAGTGTATTTAAGAAACAAGGAAGCCAGTATGGCTGGGACAGAGTGAGGGGAGAGGACACAAAGGCTGAAGTCAAGGAGGTAATAGGAAACCAGATCATGTAGTTTTGTAGGCCAATGTCAGGATGTCAGCTTTTATCGTGAATCAAATGAGAAGTCATACAATGTTTTTAAGCAAATTAGTAATGTTACATTCCTTCTAATAAACTTTTTATTTTGGAGTAATACTGAATTTACAGGAAAGCTGCAAAGATAACACAGAGTTCCCATATACATCTCACCCAGTTTCCTCTAATATTAACGTCTGGCATTCAGAAAGAGAGGGAACTAAGAATATGAACTCGGGAGGCTTCAGTATACAGATGGTTATTTAAAGTCATTAAGATTTGATATAATCAAATGGAAGTAAAGAAAGAGGAAAAGAAGAGAAGCAAAGATTGAGCCCTGGAACACTCAACAATAAGAGATCATGAAGAACAGAAGAAAGACAGAAGGAACCAGTGAGGTAGAAGGAAAACCAAGAGAGTGTGATGTCCTGGAAATGAAGTGAAGAAAATACATCATGAAGAAGGAAGTGATTAACTGCGCCAAAGGTTGCTGATAGCTCAAACAGGAAAAAGACTGGGAATAATCAACACCTGGAGACCACTGGTGACACTAAGAAGAGGATTTTGGGAAAGGGTGGGAGAAAAACCATGCTGAAAGAATGAATAGAAAGAATAGAAAAAGAGGAATTGGGATTTGGAACATAAAATCCTTAGAGGATTTTTGTTCAGAAGAGCACTAAATGGGGTTAGAAGTGGAGAAAGGTTAAGAGAAGCAGTTCATAAAGTAAAAGAAATAACGTTAAGGTCAAAAATGGGTCTTAATCTAAGAGCCACAGGGAAAGCATATAAAAAAGAGGGGGGAGGGGAGAAGGACAAAGACAAAACTTAGAACACAAACAGCCTTAATCTTAAACTACGGAGGCTAGCTGAGGATTAGAGAAAACAAGCAGTTAAGTAAAACCATTACCTTTTAATATATGTGTGACCATCAGTGAATTAAAAAAAAAAAAAAGGAAATCATACAAAAGGAAACCATTAACATTATCAACACTAGATACAAAGTGAAAGGGGGTGGGGGATGAGGGAGGCTGACTAGTGGTAAAAAAGCAATACCACTTTAATTCAAAAACCTTATATTGAGTTCCCAATAACTATGCGAACTGAACACGTCAAAACACCTGTTTCTCCATTTGGATTATGCAAAGACAAAATCGGGTGGAAAATAAACCCTCATCTAATGGGATTATCAGAACTGAAAGAAACTAAATACTACTACTACTGATTAAAAGAGAAAGTTGGCATGTAATTCCTCTCGCTGATGGACCACTTCTCTAGAATACCTATGCAACTATTCAACTTAGGAAAGGGCAGTTTCTTTCCATTTGTTACTACAGAAAGTTCATCCCTTACCCAAAAGGGCCTAGTACGCTTCAGGCCCCAGGTGAAACCCATAGACAGTTTACAAAGAGCGAGGGATTGGGACAGAGGGGGAGAGAGGGAGAGGGAGAGGGAGAGGGAGAGAGAGAGAGAGAGAGAGAGAGAGAGAAGGCTGCGTCAGAAAAGTGTCCAACAGCCTACTCAACACAACCCTCCGGATTCAAGTGTCTTACTACTTCCACAACCATTACAGGGCACTTCAAAGGCGCTCTGCATTCTAGAGAATCCCTCAGGCGCAAACGGAGAAACTGAAGAGGGCGTGTAGCAGGTGCACACCCTGCACGTAAGTTTAGGGAACCCAGGCGTCCGAGAGTGCAAAAACGGAAGGTCCAGGAGCTTACACATTGAGGGGGATCCGAGCTGGGAAAAATCATGCACTGAGGAATTCTAAAGGGAAATAATAGGGAACTAAAAAAAAAACGAAAGTAAGAAAGAAAAACAAAACAAGGACAAAACAAAGGGCTATTACTATCACTAATTTACTATTACTAAAATACGCAGCTCACGCTTCCGGACCCTACCTCTCAGTTCCTCCACTTCCGGTCTCCTCCAAAAGGCCCGCTCCCGCAGCCAGACGTCCCGCAGCCAATGAGAGCGTCGTCCACTTCCGCAAGGACGCCTGACGTCTTTTAGCTCCGGCCTTTTCCGGTTGCGAGGAGCCTATCCTCGTGTCCGGATCGCGCGGCTCGGGAGGAGGTACCCTGACAGGCCCAACCGGACGCGGGGAGGGAGCGAGACGGGCAGGCGGGGCGGGCACGCCTCTTCCGCCCTGGGCCCGGAAGGGTGATGTGGCTGGGGCTTCGCCGGCCTCACTATGGTAAGAATTGGGGCGGTGGGGTCGCAGCCTGGCTTTGTGAAGGGGCTGTGGGCGCGAGCTAGGGCTGGAGGGTTGGGCGGGGGCCCTCGGTGCGCGGGCCAGGGAGCCTTGTCACTAGCTTGATTCTGCCGGGGCTCGGAAGATGCTCAGACCCGGGAACCATGTGGCCCCTGCACGCCCAGCCAGGGAGAACCAGGGCCCAGCGCCCGAGAGACCCCGCGGTCGCAGGGCCCAGCGCCTCCCGCACACTCCACCTTTCTGACTTGTTTCGAAGAAGTGCGCTGGTTGGCTTAACCCAGTCGTTTTTAAGACTTTCTATGGCCATTGACCCTTGGAGGCATGGAGCTTCTTGAGTTTGCGCTTGTTATTTCGCGTCCTCTAATGTCTGAGGGCCTGGCCCAGGTGTTTCATTGTTGTCTTTAGAAACCCCAAGCTCCACCTCTTAATTTTCGTCTGTTGAGTTAGTGACCTTTCAGGCTCTTCCTACTCTACAAACTAGATTTTAAACATTGGCGATCTCTGGAGAAGCGGTTTTTCTTCTAGGACTGTACTTGGGGTGGCGTTTGGCCTCGGACCTTCCTTCCCCACACATTTTTACGGTTGTATTTATGATTTTGTGTTATTGCAGATTCTTTGGTAGTTTGGGCCTCTTAGGAAAATTTAAAATGAGTCATGAAAAGTATTCAAAAGAAATGCCTACGTTTTCAGGCAGAGGAAAAAAAGGTAGAGCCAGCATGGCCGGAGGACAGATACAGTAGTAGTAATACTGAAATCTCCCAAGCTGTCTGAAGCCCTTTTACCTTTGTTATAGTAAATGCCAACCGTCTCTACACCGGGTGAACTTAATGAAATCCACGGGCCAAATGTTGCATTTATAAGCATGTTTCTGGGGAAAGGATGATTATGGTATCAAAAGCAAACATGACCCCCAAAAAAGCTATTGTGGGGTGAAAGTTACTGAGCTTATGTTTCCAGAGGTTCCTGCAGTACCCCATACAACACTAAACCCTTAGACATTTAATCGAAAACTCATTGTTTCTTGCTTTAGCCCAACTACTTTGATTATAAATGGGGCATAAGTCACAGCGTCTTTCCTGGAGAACTTACAGAGAAAATGGCAGTCTATTTAGACAGGTTATTCCTTTCCTAGCCAAGAATGTACTCCAGCTTCTTTGCCTACCTACCACACGATCGGATGAGTATACTTGCTCTTAAAGAGTGTCATTAGAGAACTTAGAGAATTTGATTCCTTTTTCAATTTAAAAAGAATAGAGACTGTTACTTTTTCTTTTTTTTAAGTAATCTCTATCTGCAACAAGAAACATGCTCTTCTGACTGAGCCAGCCAGGTGCCCCTAGAAATTGTCACTCTTAATTCTTGTACTTCTTCCTAGATGCTGAAGTTTAGTTATTCTACTCATAGTACAAGTCAAAGATCCATTTTCATCATCTTAGTGTCTTATCAACTAGCTAATAGCAAGACAGATACTGTGTTTAAGATTAACAGTATTTAAACTTTTAAGAACTTCAGAGTGCCTTTTCTCCCTCTTAGTATCGTTCAAGATTTATCTCAAGTTTCATCTCTTCCCAAAAATCCTTCCCTACTCCTTCTATTTTCTTCTCCTGGGTCTCCATTTGGGCATCCACAGTCCATGTATATACCTCCAGTGTACCTCCAGCCATAGCACTTACCACAAAAAAACAGCAATACATTGTTGCATATATTTCTTCCCTCTCTAGCTGGAGTTTTCTAGAGACCCGGTCTTCTAATATCTACCTCACAATGACAGGTAGAGTTAGTACTCAAAGGATTGCACATCTGGGGAAACAGAGTCATGTAAAATATGCTAAGTGTCTTTAAGGACTTCACAGTCCACTGAAGGAGATTATTAAATAAGTAAATTCCACGTGTTTTCTGTTATGATAAAGAGAAATATCATGTGTAGTGGAAAGAGCTCTGAGAAATGAGATGGCCAACCAATTCAGTCCAAATTTCTGGGCATCAATAGTTTTTAAAAGCTTCAAGTGATTCTTTTTTTTTTAGATTTTATTTATTATTTGAGAGAGAGAAAGATTGAGAGAATGAGTGGGGGGAGGGGCAGAGGGAGGAGCCCAAAAATGTGGGACTCGATTCCAGAACCATGGGATCATGACCTGAGCCAAAGATAGACACTTAACTGACTGAGCCACCGAGGCACCCAAAAGCTTCAAGGGATTCTTATGAACAGCCAGGCTTCATACCACATTTGACTCCAAACATTGAAAAGTTTTTCCCTTTTATCAATCTTTGTCATTTCCAACTGCATGGTCAGAACACTTTTCTTCATAACAGGATTTGCAGTTTGTCCTTTGGAATACTTTTGTCTTACCAAATTATCAACATGTAAAGTATTAGTCCTTCATATTTTTTTTAAGTCTGCTTATCATGGTTCTATGTATACTTTGTCCTATTAACACCTTTGATCCCCTTGTTTTATATTTAGATCTCTGGTGTCTATAAAATCGCTCTGAAACTAAGCAACACAAACACAGCAAATACATTATAGATACCATGACAATGAGATGAAAATAAGTGCAAATGACCACCTATATTGCCAGGGGAGAACACTGCAGTGAGGTGCTTCTACTCTGAACTGTACCTTTTCTCATAGTCATGAAAGTTCTTAATTTTAAGTGGAAAGGTTAAATAGAAAAGGTCTACATTTTTGAAACAGGACCAATGAGATCAAATGGCTATTTAGTCCAACTCCTCATTTTACAAGTGAAATTAAACTAATAATATAGAGGTGCAGATTTATCCAAGAACAAATTAATATACTGGATTACTTCCTAAATAATGCAAATGTTTAATGGCCACTGATGTTAAGAGGTTTTTAACATCAAGACATTAAGTAATCCTGGTTTCTTGGTTTCAAATTAAACCAAGATAATCTGCATATGGGGTACAATTTCAGTGCTGCCTTACAGTAAGCAACAAAGGTTGAACTTAGGTGCTAATAACACCAAAATAAAATGTCAGTATTTCTGTGTGTTAATGGAAATATTAATCACCTGTGGTCATTTATCTTGGGCAAGTGGGGAGGGGTGTGTTTGCACATTTATATACAGGCTTCAGTTATCCCTGCATTTCCATGTTTTCCATTTTAAGAGAAAAGAGTGGTACATATAAATTTACAAGTAGAAACTGTTGGAAAATGCTGGTCTGACCTAGATTTGTATGTGATAAAATGCTGACCCACTTTTGCAGTACTGTATAGTTTTTATGACAATTAGGTCAGGAATATCATTTCTGGGTCCTTTTACCTTCTGAGAGGGATAAATGACTAGTTTTGTGTAAAAGCCGTAAGTCTTAAAACAAGTAAAATTGTTACTATTTGGAGTTTTAAAAATTGTAAGTCTTTGGTATTCAATTATTGTTTTAAAGTGAATTCCAGTTAAACCGAGGAATTAATATGTCCGTTAATTCCACGTAAGATGCAATCAACATTTGAAGCTCCCATGCAGTGTTACGCATAAAGAAGGCCCTTCATCCACATATTGGTTAAACAGTTTATTTTGATAATGCTAAAAATAAATAAATAAGCAGTAGGGAGCTCAAGTGATCCAGGACTAATGAAGACTGTAGGCTTAGTCTTTTCTGTAGATTAAGTACAGTTAGCAACCAGTCACTGAGCACTCCAGACAACTGTTCAGCATATTAATATGTATATTTCTGCTGCCTTTCTCATTGCTTCTTTGTGCCTTTATACTGCTGGGATCTTTCCCCTGTTTTCTCTCTATTCATAATGTTTTGGATGGTTTCTTAAACTATTTTTATATATACATCTAAAAACAAAACCTTACGCTGAATTCTTGCCTTTATAACCAAGCTTAATGAATATAGTTTTAACATTCACTTGTGACTGAAAACAAGAAATTGTATCTTCATAGATAAAATGATAAAAATTGAATCTGAAAATATTCCTAACTTCAGATTGACTTGAGAGTAGAGAGTTTTTTAAAAGATGTGTTAACATCGCAAGTAGTTTTTTGTTTTAGCACTAAGCTTTGCATCAACAAATCTTCATCTATTCACTGATAAATTATTTCATCTACTGTAGTGGTGGCCAGATGAAAGTGAATTATTTTCGTTATTTCAGAAGGCCTAACAAATTGTGATTTACTTCAGAATGATTATACAAAGTGACTCATCAAGTTGATTTCTTTCTGGTTTGCATAATTTAATTTAGTATAATAGTACTAATTATTTGAAGCATATCAAAGTCTATGAGTAGTAGATAGGTCTGGAGTGTGGAGGGATAATAAAAGGGGCCTTTGGAGAAAAACAGTTTAGGATGTCCATTGCAGTTTTTTAGAAGAATGAACACAACTGCGAGAGTAACCGTCAAAAGGGCAAGACTGCTGTATTCCACAACCCCAAGTGTTACCGTTCTGATTATATTTGAGGTTGTGCTCCAGAGAGTCTAGGGAATGTTATTGGATACCTCTTAATAAAACGGAAGTGTTCATTGGTATAGCAGAATGCCCTCCCCCACTAAAAACAAAAATAAAACCCTGTAAATATGTTATCTTACTTGGCAAAAGAGACCCGACATATGTGATTAAGAAATTTGGAATGGGGAGGGGGATCAATTCATCACAAGTTTCCCTTTAAGAGGGAGGCAATAGGATCATAGTCACAAAAGAAGTATCAAGGTCAGTGGGATGAGGGGTCACTAGCTAAGGATTGCAGACAGCCTCTAGAAACTGGAGAAGGCAAGAAAACAGATTCTTTTCCCAGAGCCTCCAGAAGGAATGAGTTGTATTTTATAACTCCTTAGTTGCAGTGTACATTATTTGATATTTAATAGTTGGCTAAACTTGTTAAACTCCCTGGCACTGCCTGACTGAAAAGTAGGTAAACCTTAGATTTGAGAATTGAGGTTGTGGAATTTGATGCCAGCCAGCTAGCCTGCTTGGTCAGGTCATCCACACCTCTGGAAGATGTATATCTCTTAACAAATTAGGTGGAGTCAAAAACACTCATTGTCCCATATGCAAGTACTTTGAAGCTGGCTTCTTGGTAGAACTTTCTCTGAATTCCAGTTGGTGATATAAGGAGACTGAAATGTTGAGAGGGAATTACCTCAGGCCTTTATTTTACCCTCCAGCCTGGGCCCTTAACATAAACATGGGGGTATTTGTTTCTTCCGTCTGCATTTTCCAAAATCTCATTGACAAGTAAGTATCAATGCAGAGCCATGTGTGGCAGTTTCTCTTGAATAGTTAGCCAAATATTCAGCAGTCTAATCTACATTTTTTTAATATCATGCATTGTTAATTTGGAATTTAAGTATGCTCTTGAATTTGTTGAAATGTTCATTATTTGCAGTTGTTTTCAAGTTCCTGTTCATTCAACATTTTTCAGTGACTTCTGTGCTCTATTTTAATAGGCACAAGGGGTCGATGTGAACCTCAGTAAAATAGAGGAGACCATTACAATACAGTTTGATGGGTGCTATCTATGATACACACCTGCACTACAATCCTGACTGCTTCGTATGGCAAGTGGGGACAGGGAAGACTTCACAGAGGAGGTGACTCTTGAGTTGAAACCCAAAGATTAAGTCAGTTCACCAGGCAGGCAAAAATAGATGGCCTGTGCAGAAACACAGAGTACCTTGAAAAGGATGTCATGATCTGAAAAAAATTAAACAGTAAATGAATTTTACTTCCATTACCTTTTTTAAATCATCTTTTCCTCTATTTTGTGATCGACTATGCTTACTTTTTTTCTTAACTTCTTCCTTTTTAATAACGTTTTCCTATTGAAAATCCCAATTATTTTTTCTACAAGAATAGGAACATCTGTTTCTTTTAAAACTGAGATGAAAATTTTATATCAGCGGACAACAGATGCTAAGCATTAAAAGGAATACTTAGGTAGGGTAAGAAATGGTAGGCTAATGTCTATAGCTTTGAAACATTCTTGTTTGAATCTAAAAGACTTTACCACCTAAGATTATTTGTTTAAATTTTAGGGTCTATAAACCCCAGAAACAAAGTTGTATGTATCATATATTGCACATTTGTAAATGGTTTTCACTTATAAATGGTTTCACACACAAATGTATATATACACACCCCACTTCTGTAATAATAGGCATGTCTTTAAGTGCCTCTTAAAATCTTTTATTATATAAAAATTCAAACATAACAAAGGTAGAAAGAAGAGTATAATGAAGCCTCACATCCTCGGTATTTCATCATCAACCCCACACCTCCCACCACACATAATGAATTATTTAGAAACCAATCCCAGACATCGTATCATTTCAGCATTTTTTTTTTCACTAGACATTTCAGGGAAAGAAAAAGTACACATTGCAAAATTGTGAAATTTAGATACTCCATTAGGAACATGATAAACCTACTTTGCAAACTGATTTTCCAGCCACGCTACTACATCAGTCCTTTGCTTAATACAATAAGCCTGCTCATTATTCCTTAAACATGCAAATTCCTGATTCTGAGGATGTTTTCCATGCTTTTGTCTCTTCTGGAGCCTGCTCTCTATTTGCCAACCTAATTGTGCCCTTTCTTGACTTCACTCAGTCCTTGCTTTCTCCTTGAAGCTTTTCCTGATTTTTCTTTATGAAAACAGCATTTTTTGCCAGTATGGTTCAGTCGCCACTCAGTACATGCTACAAAGAATTGCTAGTTATTTTAAAAATATATGTCCTGTTCTGAGTTGATTATAACTGCTGTATGCCTCAGTTGTCTCATATATAAAATACAGGTATTAGTAACACCTACCTCAAATATATGAGGATAAATAATTAAAATAAGCCTTCAGTGAATATCAGTTATTGTTGTTAGCTACAGACTCCTGGAGGGAAGGAATCCTGTGCTATGTACCTTTTTAATCCTGTGTCTAGCCTCATGGTCCAGACAGAGTAGTTACTAGATACAGGTTTCGTTATGTTGGCTGGCAAGAAATCTGTGCTTTGTATTTCATGAGGTTGTTAATCAGGTACTATATTAATATAGTCACATACATGTTCAAAATATCTTTGAAAGATAAACATTGTGAAAAACTTACTGTTTTCTATATAGAATTTAGAGTTCATTTATTGGTTTATTTCAAGTTATAAAATTTGTACGCCTTTCACAAATGTAAAATTAAAATCCAATTCAATAAGAAACCAAGATATACTAAACTTTATCCTTTGTATATCCATGAAGAAATGATTTGCGGGCGCCTGGGTGGCTCAGTCGGTTAAGCGACTGACTGCCTTCGGCTCAGGTCATGATCCTGGAGTCCCGGGATCGAGTCCCGCATCGGGCTCCCTGCTCGGCGGGGAGTCTGCTTCTCCCTCTGACCCTCCTCCCTCTCATGTTCTCTGTCTCTCATTCTCTCTGTCTCAAATAAATAAATAAAATCTTAAAAAAAAAAAAAAAGAAATGATTTGCATACAAAACAACTATTAAAATAGTAATTACAAATTTTATCTTTTTCAGACCATAAAAGTAATTTGAGAATTCCAGAAAAGTTGAGAATTGGGCCAAAAACCTTCCAAAGATAATGCATTCCCCCCTCTTGTTCACATAAACGTTTACATAGCTGAAGATATGCTGATTATGAAATTTTGTGTGCTGTTTTCCCCACTGTTTAGCATTGTACCTAAGCATTTTTTTGTCTTTAAGAATATTGGTAAATACCATATATAATTTCTTAATGTTTTGAATAGTTTGTAAATACTTATCATAAAAGTATGTAACAGGTTAAAAAATATTGACAGTTTCTGACAAGGTTCGTTCTTGTTTTAGGATTCTCCTGGCTGTTCTTGCTTATTTATTTTTCCATATGAGCTTCAGAATCAGTTGTGTATTTCAGAAATAACTGGTATTGAGTTCACTTTAAATTTATAGATTAGCTTTATGATGTTGCCTTCCAATGTAAGAACATGGTATACCACTCCATTCTACTTTTATTTTTTCAGTACATTTAAAGGTTTTGCCAGTTTTGTTCTTTGATGCCAGTGCTGCACTCCTTGTTAAGCTTATTCCTAGATATTTCAGCTTTTTGTTCTACTTGCTATTATAAATAGAAACTTTGTTTCCATTATGTCTTTCTGCTAGTTGGTAACGTAATTCTGAAGGCTGTTGATCTAAATATTTTAGTTAGGTACCGAGCCACCTTACTCAATTCCCTTGTTGTGTATAATCATTTTTCACTGGATTCTTTTGGGCTTTTCAGGTAGCACTTACTATTTGTAAGTAACAATTTTGCCTTTCTCAAAAAATTTTGTAACTCTTACTCTTTGTCTAACTTCTGATACCATAGAAGGTCCTTCTGAGTTTACTAAAGAAGCATATTGCTAGCTACTGTGTGAGACTGATATATTTTATCTACCTTATGTAATGGAAATATTATTGTTTTAAATCTATACACATATATATATATACATATATATATAATGGTATTCCTGCACTTTCAAAAAATTGTTTTATTTATTCGGCCATTACTTACTGGTCTCCTATGTGGTAGGTACACAGTTATATCCTGGAGTTCAGAGCCTGATGAGACGTCCACTTTCAGGATGAGTATTATAAAATGTATAACAGTTCCTGTGAGAACAGAAAGGAGAGTTCTGTGTGAAAAAAAGGAGAGAGGAGGTCAATGGGTTCAAGGAGACTTCGTGGAGAAGATGATGCTTGAGCTGAATTTTGAATAGATTGAGTCCACCTCCATTTTCCTTTGATTGGAAAACTGATTTCCTGTGATTCCGATGTTAAATTTTTTGAATAACTTTTAAGAATGAACAGTGAAAGAGCAAGTAGTTTTTCTTCACCAAAACCTAATAGCTTAGTATTAGTCAGTGCATGCAACATGATTGCTTAAATGTGGAGCATTCTTAACAGAATTTCAGAATTGAAAGAAACCTTAGCCAACATTTAGTCTATATCCCCATTCTCCACCCAGTTTTACGGATGTGAAAGAGAGACTGAGGTTAATGGTTCAGCTGAAGTCATACGGCCAGCTACGCTCAGAGCCTGTAAACTTTATGTCCTACCTAGTAGTCTGGGCTCCTAGAACATCTGTATTAATTACATATTGATTCAGTTTTGGTGAGATATTTTAGATTCATGACATTTTTGGTAGTGTTTTCAAGTTCTCGAATTTAGAATTTTTGTTGCATCTTCTGCATTCCTTAGCCCAAAGAATGGAGAGGAAAGTACACTCTTGGAATACCTTATGATTTGGGGTTTTAAGTGTTCTCAGACATGCCATTCTGTTTGTCTTTGAGAAGAACAAAAGTACGATTCTTAATATAGAATTGTCTAGCAGTTTTTACCTATGCTGTTTTTCTTGTGATATTAATTTTTCTTTTTCTCTTTTTAGTCTGCCATTTTCAATTTTCAGAGTCTGTTGACTGTAATCTTGCTGCTTATATGTACCTGTGCTTATATCCGATCCTTGGCACCCAGCCTCCTGGACAAAAATAAAACTGGGTATGTTACTAATGATATCTAATCACCCAAATTAGGTCCTATAGACATTGAAGGTAAATTACCATAAAAGTCATTAAATAATCTAATTCCTATATGTAACTTAGTTTTGTAATAACTTTTTACATTCTCCCTCTATTTTTAAATCTAAAAACTTTGTATGCACAGAATCTTAATAAATAAAAAGATAAATATCAGAAGGGACCGGACATGTGTCAATAAAAAGTATACTTAAAAAGATACGACAGGTATTTTTCTGGGATTAGAAATACAGTTTAACACTTTCAAAGATAGTGTTTGGCCTTAATTTTTTATGCAATAATTAGTAAAGTTGGTTATTAAAAAAAAAAAACAAAAGTTGGTTGTCATGTTTTTGAAGCATAAAACAGTTTGCAAGCACTGTGTCCATAAAAATATAATGTAGACATTTCCCTCTCCAGTCCAAGACTGCTCTAATCATATGGGCTCCCTATTAGTATCAGAAAGCAAATATCTTTGGAGAAATTTATTTAGCTTACATAAAGCAGTAATAAAAATTAAGTCTTGGGCTTGACACATCTCTTATATTATATGTTCACACCCTGAAAAAATTTGAGCTCAGTATGATACCACACAGAATTAAAATTTTAAAGTGCCATCTTCATAACACAAAAATACATGTTGAATTCAACCAAAAGGAAAAGTATATAAAAAAACAGAGACTATGTGGTGGAAGCTATGTAAATTTTCTTCACCTTGCATATTTATTAATTTCTATGAAAAATTATCTTAATCCTTTCTTAATAAAAGCCTATACCTCTTAATCATTTTAAGAAATAAAAGAATGAAAGAACACTGCACATAGGAATAATTATCTCCAGCACCTGTATTGGGCCAAATAAGGATCCTGCAACATCAAATTCTGTTTTTCCACTAATAAAAATCTATAAGAGGCAAGGTGATATAGTCAGCTATGAGAATAATAATTTCTGCTTCTCTCCTTCACCTCCATGCTATCTTTGAGGACATAATTAGCATTTATTCAGACATTCTGTCATCTAAATTATTTGGCTTTTGTTACCATTTCTTCCTTTTTATTTCCTAGGGTTGTTCAAACATGTATAAAGGAATAAATAGAACCTTTAACGAGTTTGAATATTAAAAATCCCTAATCCTGTTCTAATAAACTGATCATCTGTTGCTATTAGCCTGAGGGATTTTATTTTACCTACTGATGTTATTTGTCCATCAGTTTTTATGACAATGCCCCTCTTCCTTTGTAAACATTGACTTTTCACCACGTTTTTTTCTCTGAAGTCCTCTTGCACTTAGTCTTCACTCACTTTGTCCATTTTTTGAAATTATATAGTACATTGTCCCTTTGTTGAAGTTGTATAATCTTACTTGTTGCTTAGCTGTGCGTGAAGCCTTTCCACCCAACCACATTGTTTTATTTCTTCCTTCCCTTTTTCTGCAACCCCTGACTATTGACTTAAAGCATATGGTGGAAACCAGTAAACATCCTCGTTGATGGGTTGCTTGGTATTGTAATATAATACATAACATCTACCTAATAAGATATTTAACTGTTTATTTCATTATAAAAACAATCACATAGTAGAATAGAATAATTATGCTTGTCTGATGTTGTTGTGAAGAAAGTAGGTTGCATGTGGAAAAGTCTGCTCCTCATTCTTTGGGGAGCAGGAGTACATCCATTACATGCTACATTAAGAAAAGGAGTTCTCAGGGCTGCCAACCTTACAGTAGAGGTTGAGTAGTAGTATATTTCTCCTACATGTAATACCAAAGAAATAGCATGCCTATTTCTATATTTTGAACCATATACTGATACAGTCAACCATTAAAAGACTTTTTAAAAAATTTTACTTCTATTTATATAAATGTTAGGCCCCATTTTATTTTCACTTGTATATAAGAAATATTTTCTCTGGGAGAAATTCTTAACAGGCTATTGTCCTTTTCTGTTACAATATGTGTTTTTATGAGACTCATTAAACTGCCCTTTCGTTATAGTGAATATTCCATGTTTAAGTAGAGATATCTAGCCTAATTGGATAAAACAGGTTCTTGATGAATTCACTCTTGAAAATAACAATTTTTTTGCTGCTTCAAATAATAATTAAAAAGCAGCAATAAACAGTTGGTACTTTGCCTCATTTCCTGTTATCATAGACCTGATTAGCTTTATCAGCAGATATACTTATTGGCTTATAGCCATAGAAACCAAGCAATGTAATTGTATTGGTTTTTCCTAACTAATAAAGTTCTTGTATTTTAATAAATAGCATTTGGCATATGACAGAAATATGTCTAGGTAGGGAAATATGGGAAAGGCCAAAGTGGTACTGATAAATCTCTTAAGTTGCCCGAGTTAGGAAACTTTTTTCATTTGTATAATTTTTAGTATATGTGTTATAACAACTTCCTAATGATGCTCTGAGTTATTTCTAGGTTATCAAACCTGAAATGACCCTGATTGTGATCATAGGGTTTTAGATTATGTTCTGTGGGACTCTTAGCTTCCCATGGAGGAGCTTCGGGTGTCCCGCCTCTGAGGCCCTCATCCATAGTAGCTTTAAATCAATGTGCATGTTATAATCAATAGGTTTTTAGAATCAAGGAACCATGGCATTGCAGATGACTAACCAATTGTCTTCCATTTTTTGATGACGTGTAAGCCAATTTTAAGTGATATCTGAAGTTACTGTCACATGTGCCTTTAACCTATGTATTACTGAACACAGCACATGTTAGTTACTATTCTGAAGAATTTCTGTGTAATAACACATTTAATCCTTATAACAAGCCTATGAAGGTGAGTGCTATTAAAGAGAAAATAACTTGCTCACAGTTATACAACCAATTAAGTAGGATTAAACTTAGGCACAATCTGGCCTTTATGTTATCCTACATTATTTTCAAGAGTATATTTGATTTTTGTCCTTTTATTCCTATAGTAGAATTGTTGCACCTGTCAGAATGTCCATCCTTCAAAATAAACTTGTATCTTTGCCCATTTCATGTCATCTGAACTAACAGACTTTTTGCTTTGAGGTCAGGAAGTTATACTTCAGAGGAGGAATATATATAGAACTTAATCGAACAGTAATTTCTTTCAGTCTTAACCACGCATATATAATTATTCATCAGCCAGCCATCTCTTAGGGCAAAAAAAAAAAAAAAAAAAAGCATGACATAAATTTCCCTGGAATTTAAGTATTTCAATTTTGTTACACCAGTCCTAACCTATGCAATAAGTACCTCTAAGTACCACTAATTTATCTTGATTTGTAGCCTTGTATAACACCATTTATAATTCTCTTCTTTTGTCAGAACAACAAAATAGTTGTCTACAATGTTTTTATATCTTTTAGCTATCTCTATTCATTGAATGACTCAGTTGATTTTCTTCTAAAGCTCGTACTTTTTATACATGCTGAATAAGTGAAATATGCATATAATTTGTATTTAATTCATAGTATATTCATTCATAGAATTGTGATGAACATCTTCATTCTAATTCTTATTTCCAGAATGTATGTGTTTTAAATGCCATATTTAGTTGACTCATACACAGTGTACTCTAAGCACATATTTTTTTTTATATCCTTCCTTATTGAGTTGACATAGTTATATAAATGCTATCATTGGAGTTCATGGTTATAAATCATTTAAATATAGAACTACATTCTGTAAAAGTAATTTCTTTAGTATGAGAGTTTTATTTTTTCATGTCAAAAACACCCGAACCAACTGTGTTCATTTACCATTTTCTCAAAATTAATGTTTATGTAAAATGGCATATGTATTTTCTACTTTTGAGAGTAAAGCACTTGAAGTTGACTGAATTAATTCTACAATAAAAAGCCCTGTGCACATTTTTGCTGCACGTATTAGTTTACCGTGGGTTTAACCTGGGATACCACATGTATTCCAGTTTGTAACAGTTTATATACACTAACATTTGGTAAGCAAGTGTGTCCTACTTTCCTACATAAATGGTGGCTCAATATCAAATAAATTTCAGTTTTGAAGTACGAGAAGGTAAAAATGCCAGTTGGTAATGAATGCTGTCTAGGATACTGAGAAAATGATTTACCTTTCCCAATAATCAATAGCTACTTTTTCCTTTTTTATTCTATGCAGATTGTTGGGTATATTTTGGAAGTGTGCCAGAATTGGTAAGTGTCTGTTATAATCTCCACATCTTCAGCTGTAAATTGTTGGGCAGTTTACTTATGGCATATTCACACAAGTCAAATGTCAGTTTTAAAACTCCAGGCTTCCCAATTTTGTGCACTTCTAGAAGTTTGTAGAATTCCCCAAACTCTTTCCTTATGCTATTTAAAGCTAGACGTGGTAGATACCTCAAAATACTTAATTAGCAGGAAGATGGAAACTACAAGAAAAATCTAATTCAGATATCAAATTCTATGCATTCCCTAGTGTTGAGATTTCAGACAAATGTGTACAGTTTTATGCACACATGCTTATAGTATAGAACATGCTACTCTGTATAATGTGTACTATTTTTATAACTAAGGATAACTTTCCCATCTAATGAAAGGCTTGCTAAGCAACCATCTAAACATACTCATTTTATTCCCCTATGCTAAGTCCAAGAATGTTAGAATGTTATTTGTTGCTTTTGGAAAGCATTAACTGTTTCACCTATCAAATTTGTGATCATAGCTGAGTTTTGTTCTAATTGATTAAAGTTAAATATGATTATCTTCTAACTTTTCATTATAAAATTAGTAGTGTCATCGTGTGTTTATGTTTAAATAATAATATACTCTTATCCCATCCCTATATGTATATAACACTTAGCACAGTGCCCAGTTCATGGCAGACTCTCAAATGATTGGCAAGTCAATGAATTAAAATGTACTTTACTGATGTAATTTGCCAGTATTCTCAAATAATAGGTTATACCCTTTTAAACATAGCTAGTTCTAAAAAAAACATTACAGAGCATTTGTGATTGTTCCACTTGGATGGAGCAAAATGAATATTTCTCCTCTTTGGAATTATTTACATGACCCCCTCCAAAAAAAGTTAGATTTTAGTACTCTTCCAGTATTTAATTTGTATGTAACTGTTTTTTTCTTTTATAAAGTTATGAGACTTTCATAATAAGAGAAAAATGTTGCTGCATTTGATGGTTAGTCTAGTTAGCCAGTCTGACAACAGCCTGAATTACCCACCCCAATGAATCACTTTAAATAGGAAGGGGGAGTTTAGGAGTCATGTCCCTTAGATAAGCTGCTTTCTATCTAGAGTATTGTTTTCTTTTGGATTCATTTATCATAGATAATGGAAAATTTAGAAGATGGTCCATAACAGGAAGCAAAATTGATTAAAGATTAAAAACCACTACAGACTAAGATTTTGTAACATTTAGAAGTTTTTCTAAATAAAACATCAGAAATATGTTGTTAGCCACTAACATAAATAAGTGTGAAGGAGCAGGTTTTCTTCCCTTGAGCTTTTGGTGATAGGCAAGACCCGTTAACAGTGGAAGTTTTCAGCGTCATACCAAATTATATAGAACTCCTTTTAAAATCTGTTACAATGAGATTATAAGATTTGTTGGCCTTTCAGGTGTCTTGCTATAGAAAATGACAGTGTACTATAAATAGTTTCAGAGTACTTTTGGGGCCCTCAATCTAATGTATTGACCATTGAAACAGACATCTTCTTGAGAATTCATAGTGCTTTTAACATGTTAACCTGTCCTTCCTCAGTGTTCTTTGTCATACTTTATTATCTCATAGGGTGATAGACATGTGAATCTTGATCACTGACTTTAGATACGTAAACCCTAGATAAGTGGTTATCAATCAGGGCATTTAACTGTGTCTGGAGACACTTTTGTCTGTCACAACTAGAGTGGGGGGACATATACTGAGTATAAATCATGGATGTTGCTAAACATCCTACAAGGGGAACAGAACAGCCCCTTACATAGAATGAGCCCAAAACGTCAGTAGTGCCAAAGTTGAGAGGGCCCAACCTAGATTTATGGAGATTTGTGGTACAGACTTATCTGACATCCAGTCATGCTGAACAGCTGCAAAGCCTGAAATAACAGTAGAAATCTTAATCACTTTAAAAATAACCAAGAAGGGAGAGATAAAGAGACAGAAGAGCACCCTTGATGGCCAATTATGATAGCTAGTAGTAAATGTAAATACATGTAAACCAAATTGCTTGTTTCAAAGCCAAGTCACGCAGAAAATGAAATAATATTGTCAAGGAACAGAATGCAAAGAATACCTCAAGAAAACTTCAAAGAGAGAACATAATGGAAGAACAAGACCGTTCTAATACAGTGAAATTCTCTGGATCAGAGTAATACTGAATATTCATTGGTAAAAATATAAAAAGTCTGGAGTTAGGAGGTAGAGCTTTCACCTTAATATTATGAAGTTGCTAATTCATAAATAAAAGATTTTAATTAAGGGATTTTAAATTAAATGTTAAGGTATTTTAAATCCATTTTGTGTAATAAATTAGAGAAGTATGTACAGCTTCATTCAGTAGCCAACCTAGGTGACCGTTTTCAACAATTGTCACTTAAAAGTATAGCTGAAAGTGAGGGTTGCTGGAGTGGGGGGTGGGGTGGGAGGGATGGGGTGACTGGGTGATAGACACTGGGGAGGGTATGTGCTCTGGTAAGTGCTGTGAATTGTGCAAGACTGTTGAATCTCAGATCTGTACCTCTGAAACAAATAATGCAATATATGTTAAGGGAGAAAAAAAAAGAAGAAGAAGGTAGCAGGAGGGAAAGAATGAAGGGGGGAAATTGGAGGGGTAGACGAACCACGAGAGACGATGGACTCTGAAAAACAAACAGGGTTCTAGAGGGGAGAGGGGTGGGAGGATGGGTTAGCCTGGTGATGGGTATTGAGGAGGGCACATTCTGTATGGAGCACTGGGTGTTATGCACAAACAATGAATCATGGAACACTATATCTAAAACTAATGATGTAATGTATGGGGATTAACGTAAGAATAAAAATTAAAAAAAAAAAAAAAGACCAGATTTAAAAAAAAAAAAAGTATAGCTGAAAGTTTAAGGCATCTAGTCTGTAGCTCTCTCAATGATTTCCTGTAGTATCATCTGTTTTTTTGTCTAATTATAAACTGTGCCTTTCTTTTTGCTTGGTCAGTTATTTTCATTTTTTTCTCTTGACTGTATGAATGTCATAGGTTAAATGGTTCAATTAAAGTATTCGTTCATGCCAATTATGTGAAAGCATTAGTTTTTCATTTTGGCAAAATGGCTCAGAAAATGTTGATGCTGATATGCTGCTTTCTCAGCCATATGCTCCTCTCTTATCTTGACACAGAATATATCCACCAAGGAAGGATGCAATTTTAATAGGAAAAGGCCCAGCCAAATCATCTTATCATGTTACACATCACATTACAGCAACTGTTTCACATTCACTTAAACAGACCTAAGACCAGACAAGAAGTAACATTCTTACCCAAGTTCAACTAAAGATGTTTAGTTCTACCACATGGCAATCTCTTTTAAGAAAATTAAAAACAGGAAAATGAAACCCATATGTAAATTATAGCATTCTGAGTTGGAAGATGAGGAAGAGAAAAACTTTCTCAAAACTTAATTTCCAGCAGATGGAAAATTTAGGGCAATATTAATTTCTTTTTTTAGGTGTTTAATAAGACAATATTGACAATTAGAGTATCTAGCCCTAATTAGAGTGACTGGCTTGCTTATGAAGTCCACCTGAAAGTTATGTCTGAATGGTTTGGTTTGGCTTGATAACTTGGGTTGTTGCCCAGAAAATTAACATTGGTTAAAAATGATGACCCAAGTTATTTTTTAGTTTAAAAATTGTTTTTTTCCAGAATTAAAAAAAAAAAATTGTTTTTTTCCAGTTGAGATAGTGGCATTGTGAAAATGCTTTTGTCTCACATTTTAAATTTTCCTTTAGCTAGAACGCAGCCCAATGTCTATGGATAGAAAAACACTTTCAGACAAACAACAAATGTTTCTTTTACTTGTATGTGTATAATATCTTTTGTGAATATTGTTATTGAGCAGACACAAAGGTAAAATTAATAGCAATATGACCTTGTGAGCTCTTCGAGGAAGCTCTGAAAATAAAAACGACCTTGAGGATTTTAGTTGATGAGGATGGTCAAGATTGACATTTTCCAGAGGTCATTAAACTTGCCAAATAAAATAGTTCCTTGCTGAAGAAACTTAGTTACTGGAAGAGAGCTGATATTAAACATCATAGAAAAACACAAAAACAGTCTCTACTACAGGACACCAGGTATATGTCTATGATTATTTCTAGAAGTAGCACATCACTCCCTCTTCTTCCTTCTTCCTTTCTTATGCATCCCCCCGAGCAGCATAAATGCCTGGTGCTTTGTACAGCCCTTCAATAAATGAAAAGCAGGAAAGAACGAGATGAGTTTGGGATAACTCACAATTACAGGGTCTCTATATAATTTCACAAGCCAACTCCATTCTACTTCATGCAAAGGAAAGTCTCCAAGTAAAAACACTTAAAAAACACATGTGAAAATTGACATATAAATAAGTGGTTTTATGTTCTACACTTCTAACCCAAGAGTAATCATGAAGTCTTTCTTTAGAGATTCTAGTTAATATACAGTGTAATACTAGTTTCAGATGTATAATATAGTGATTCAACACTTCCATATATCAGGTGGTGCTCATCAGGACAAGTGTACCCCTTAATCCCCATCACCTGTTTCACCCATCCCCCCCCCCACCTCCCCTCTGGTAACCATCAGTTTGTTCCCTATAGTTAAGAGTCTCTTTCTTGGTTTGTAGCTTATGCCCATTTTTCAAGTGAAGTTTTACTGATCGCTCTTTGTTTATGTTCATCCATGAATGCTTATTTTTCCCCATTTAAGTGTCATGAATTGCTACCACTGAGGAAAAAAGTTATAGCTAAAAATTGTATGTTGAATTTCTTTTTATAGGTAGAAATTTCCTTTTACAGGAAAAGAAGCAATATTTTTTGCCCTTAATTGAATTATTTGAGATCATTTGTCTTGGATCTGTGTCCTACATTTTATGTTGTATTTTTCAATATCTGGGTTTGTGCAGTGGCACAGGAATTGTGCATTAAGGGTTTTCTAAACACATGGAAAGGAGGTGGTCTTAGAAATAAATCAGCATGATTTAACTCATTCTATATTGTACTTGCTTTTATGCTGCATCTAGTTCTTGTTTGGCCCATCCCCCCAAATGTGTGGGCCTCCTAGGTAAGAACTTTATCTTGAGCCTTATGTACCCCTCTCCCGTAGTAAGTAATAACCTTATCATATCCATGTTAACTTAAACTCAGTTTATCAACATGAATATCTTCCCCTTTTTTTCAACAGGTGAACGGAAGAGTCCTTACGTTGCAGTATGCTGTGTAGTGATGGCCTTCAGCATCCTCTTCATACAGTAGCTTGGAAGAATATCAGAATTTAATTGCTATCAGATTTCAGTATGAAAAAAGGACTTATTTACAGAAAATAATGGAATGAATGGTTAACCCTTTTATCTCTGAACATTGAATGAGATAAATTTCCAGCTGCTGTTCTCTATTTTTATTATTGGACCAATGTTCTATATAAATAGGATGTAACCATTTAATACTCGACGAGGTTAATATGTCTGTAACAATCAACCTCAGTACCATCACTACAATATTACATTCTGCAAATGTTATTCTGTTATGTCAGATACCAGTTTTTAGTGAGGTATCTCTAAGGCGCATAATAGAAAACAAAATTGGTAAATGACCCAAGTTTCTTTCACTGTGATTCGGGAATGATAAATCCTTATAGAATGAGACATTTTTCTGGACTAGCTTTTTTATTGGAAAAAAAAAAGGTTCCATTTGTGTTGATAAGGATTGCATTCATATTTAATAATGCTTGCTTTTTCCTCTGGTCACACCAGAGCATTAACAGAGTACCTCGAAGCAAACTCGCTAGTGTATCCCAGGTGTTTCAGCCTTTTATAACAAGCCTATGCAGTTCTTAAGGAAGAAGATAAATGAGATCAGACTTAAGAGTAGTACCGGGAAGATATTCACACTTAGCATAAAAGAGTTTAGAATAGCTGACTGGCATAGTAGCCTCTGAAAACTCTGGATAAGTATGGATAAAGATCTTAAGCATAAATGTGACCAGCTGTCATTCTCTAAATAAGACTGCATTCTTAGAGTGAAAGTAGCAAAATAGAACAATTAATTACAGAATGATTATCCTATTTGTGTTTTTCATTCTTTTATTCTTTTTAGTGTCAGGTCTCCACTTATTTTAATTGCCCCAAAACAAAGTGTATTTTGTTTGTTTTTAAATACAGCACTTTAAATCTAGTTTACTTTTTGTGTCAACTTGAACTAGAATCTTCTGCATAACTCAGTAGGTGATGGTAACAGTTTTCAAATCTGCTTATCCATATACCTTGTCATAATTATCTTTGAGTTTTGATAACAGAGAAAGAGCTTCAACGGTTTCCATCAAAGCAAGTGAAACATTTGGAATGTGACTTAAAAAATTTGCAGTAGAGCAGTTATAAGTTTAGTTATCATTTCTTAAGTTTCAACTGAAATTCTGTTAGAATTTCGAAGCTAAGAGGAACTTAAACATCTTAGCTAAAAATTGCCCATCGTAGGTGGTACTAATTAGATATTGTCCTCAGCTATTAATTCCTTTTCTTTTTTTAAGAAAATATTTAGAGTTATTTGAAAGTGAATCTGCCAGTAGCTCTTTCTGTAGAAACAAAGTTTGGAACTAAAAGCCATCTATTTTTAAAGAACACTTTAAAGTACTTGAAAAGAATTCTAGGAAACATGTAAGAAAAGCTTGTTAAGCATTGCCTCTTAAAAAGATAAAAGCTGCTGTAAGCTATCAATATAATTGTTTATTTTCTATTTTTGGCATATCTCACTTGCTAAAAGTTGTATATTTTGCTTTAGGCAGGGAATCAGGTTATGATCATTGTGCCTACTCTGAACTGTCTCTTGGGCTTTGCGTCAGGTCAAGACTTTTCAGGGTATCCTAAAAATAGGACTCTTATCAGCATATACATGCAGAGTAAGTCACCTTTCTGGGTCTGGCTTCAGAGTGGCCATCTGTTGTCCCACTCTGTTGCCAACTAGACTTTCAAAAGCTATGTCAACTAATTTTTTATATGCTAACACAAATCTAATATGAATAAAGGGAAGAATATTCTAGATAATCAGTTCTAGGGCATTTCTTTAATTTTGGCATTTTGGAGAAGGTAGGTGGAAAGTGGAGGAAGAAAAAAGTTCTTTGAAAAGTTTGTGGTAACATACAAAAAATCTTGCTGTGTGTAGATGCTCAACAGAGTGGGAGGCAGCTTATTTCTGACCCCAGACACTGTGACCTTTTGAAACACAAGCTCTTTGGGAGATAGAGGATTCTATGAAGAAAAGCAATTAACATTTTCTTTAATGTACTTTTTTCAAAGAGCTACCACTGAATCCTATTCTCTACTCCAAAGGGCAGTGTAGGTAGTTTTAGGCCCACAGAATATTCAGATATTCCTGTGGTGGTCTTGGTGGGGTGGTAGGATGCAGAAGAGGATTAAGGATCAATTTAGCACCAGATAGACCGCCTCTGTCACACAGTCTTACTGCGGGGCTGGAAGGGGTGGATGGTGGGCACGGAGGTCCACAGCTTCCAAGGTTTGGATACTCTCCCTAATCTCTTTCCTGGCTCCAGAATTTTTTGATTCCATCTCTCCTGGAAATTGTTCTGTGCTGATACTTGGTTCCTGAATGGCCTCAGCTTTGTCCATGGCAGGAGCCAGTCTTCCTTCTGGGCAGTCTTAAAAAATGGTCAATTAAAAGACCACTTAGTCTGTTGAATTCCATCCGTAGCTTAAAAAAATTTGGACTCAAGTCCAGTGTCTCGTAAATGCCTGTGCCAGGCACTTTCCATGTTCAAGTTCAAAACAGCCTCTTCACACTGGGGATAATAGAAATAGGTCATCTGTAACGGATTTCTGCATCTTAGTAATATGCACATCAATAGAAGAGGTCAGAATGAAGTGACTTCTCCAGGTGGACAGAGTGAAAAATGAACAGGTCTCTGCCTAGTTTTGTGGGAAAGACCTAGCATTTGTATATAGAATTTATACATTTGACCCTTCTTTCAAGAAGCATTTGTGGAGTATACAGGACCTTATCACTGAAGACAGAAAAACAAGTACATAATTTCTGTCCTCTAGTAGTGCACAGTGCAGTAGATGAGAGAGATGAAATTATTTATACAAAGTGCAATGTGATAGCGTTTATTATTGAAATAATGCCAGGATTCTGGAAGAAAATAAGGGTGACAACTTAGAGGTAAGAATTTCCTGCCAGAGAAGCAGTGCTTAAGCTGAATTTAAGAGCCATGTGCATGTCATGAACCATAAGCACCTAGCTTGTTGTGCCACTTGGGGAGTATTAAGACAATAAGCCTATAAAGGTGGACAGAGGTTAGATCCTAGAGGGTCTTGTATTTTTTCTCACTATTACCTACCTCAAAATTGAAGTTGAATACAATGTTCCCTCCTGCCTGGGAAAAAAAAAAACCTTTGGTGTATGTGTAAACAAGGTTAAGTATATCCATGCCAACCTTAATTTGGACCAGGAATACAATAGTATACTCTCCAGAGACTCCCCTGTGTAGTATCTAAAGCCAAGGTAACATTAGTCAGGTCAAGTATTTTCAGCTCATACTTCGTCAATGCCTAAAAAGCAGCCATGATTCTCAGAGCACACATCTGCACAAGAAGTGGAGGTGGTTGCACTGTCTACGTTTCCCGTGTGCACAGGAAAGATTTCTAGTAAGCAAGGACTTGTACTCTCTTCAAAAGCTTTGGGAAGGTGCTGGATCATAGGAGGCTGAAAGGAATTGAAGATTCTTAGGGACCACTTTGAACTTATTTGGTGTTCAGTAAACAGTAGATGTTCAAAATAGAAGTAACTGAGTAAAGCGTTGTGAATACGATAGCCTTGTCAGTCTCAATCAGCAAGTTACCGCTGGCTTCCAAAAATAGCTTCGTAATTATGTCATTTATATACTGCCTTCCATGATTTCTTTTACTTTGCCCTAAACTAATCCCAAAATAATCTGAAATGCACCTCCGACATCAAAAAAGGGGGAAGGAGGAAATCTATTTCCTGTGATTTTAAGAGAACAGAATCATCCTACTCTGGTTAGTGAACATGTCTGTGGTGTGTAATAAAAATCAGAACGAACTCTCAAGAGCCTCCCAATTTTGTCTTATTGTCAGATGAGTAAGAACAGTTTCTTAAGAGGTTAAAAAATTGAAATTGGCATCTTTTGAGTAAGATGGGAAAAGAGAAGTGTTTCTGTTCATTTTACCTGCATTTTAATTCATGGCTGGTCAAGATTCTTTCGGGGGAATTTATGTTGTTTTGCATCTTAAAGCTGTTCTATTGCCGTTTCTCTGAAGGAACCCTTCAAGAACCTAAATGACTTGCTTTAGGTAGGAAGTCATTGATTCACACACCCCCAGATACAGTAGAAATTGGATTCTGAATGAAAGTGACAGTATTAGTTGCTGACAGTTACTTTAACCTTGTCCTCCACTAAGAGCCTTGAGATACCCAAACATTCAATGCAAAATAGGTGAGCAGTGTCCATCAATTATTCAGACAGTTTATGCCATTTATTAAGAAATATGACAAAGTCTATATATATTATGTACCTTGCTTTGCACAGCATGGTCTTTCTGTTATCTTTCCAGCACTGAACTGACACAGATAAACTTGTTACAGTGTAACTAGAAAGGATTTACTTAACCAAATGAATTGGAACAACTATTTTTTTAGTTGAACTTTGAACTCAAAAAACATTTTCAGGTATGAATAGAAAAACAGTATCTTAGTTACTTCCTTCAATGTATATTGTAAACCTCCCTCACTGCTCCATCATAACTACCAGTTGATCTGAGACTTCAGAGAGAAAAATCACTAAATTTCTGATTCCTAACTCAGGTCAAAACAACTAAAAATGGCTTTGCTTGAGACCATTGAATTTTTGTTTTCAATTCAGAGGGTTTGTATTAATATCCCTAACCATAACAGATTGGAAATGAGGGTAAATCACTTCACACACACCACGTGGAAGACAAGAACACACAAGAACTGCAAAATAACAGACACTACTACTGTTTGAGCTTTATTTGGTAAGGGAAGTAACCTAGGAGCAAATGTATAGTGATTGAGGGTGTGTAGCCAAGTTGCCAAAACGTGTAATTTATGAGTCATTTCAACATTTTTGATCAAGTATTATGTCTAGGCTAAATGTTGGAAAAATGATGTGCAAAGATACTATTTAAAAAGTAAGAAAAAAAAAAAAGTAAGGAACCGTTAAGGCATGAAGGATTTCAAGAGGGTCGGCATTGAAGAAGGAATATTTCCAGTATTGAAGTGTTAAAGAAAAGTGACCTACAGGCTCAGGGTAACACAAAAAGATTTGACATTGGAAAATGTAAGTTATAAAGATAGAATACTCAATAACATTTCATTAGGGCTCCTAAAAAAACAGAAGATAGCATTTTCCTTTTGATTTTATTTAATAAGTAAACTCTTTGCTTCCTTTTTAACTAGTGTGTTATTCACAAATGGAAACTTTATTAAATCTTGGAAAATGATGAGAGTACTTCGACTTGTAAAATATGTTTAAGAAGTTTGCAATATGAAATTAAGAGAGCTGTAGAACACAAAATATAGGGTAATAAAGTTGGATGGGTTTTCTGAAAATTGAGTTTTATAAGAACTCTAAACCTCATTCAGATCTCTGTTAATGGGTCACATTCTTAGCTCTAAGTGAATCAAGGCCAAAATAACATATAGCGACATAATTCTAAACCCGCAAAGTAAAATTGCATTCAAACCACTGGCAACTCCAATACTAGTTGTTTTTAAGTATTAACTATCACAAGCATCTTTTCAAAGAAGTGTAATTGAATCTGTTAACACTTAGAAATTGGATATAGGGAACTGCTGAGATGTCTTCTGAATCCCTCGGCAATTAGTCTGACTTCCCATGAAAACAGAAATAGGGGTAGAACTCGGGATCATACATGTGCCCCTCAAGGAATGGAAAACTAACCCCTTTGACATTCCTACCCCACCAAGTAGAGTCCTCCAGCTCTCCCTTTCCATTTCTGGAAGAATCCTTTGAGAACTGGCTGTGTGCTAGCTACAGTGCTGGGTTCAGGGTGTACAGTGTGGAACAAGACAAATCTATCTGCCGTCGTGGAACCTAGGTTGTGAAGACCGACTAACCAAGAGATTACATAAACACAATCTCTAGTAAGGACCTTGGAGAAAACAAAGGATGATTTAGATGGAGTGGTCAGAGAAGGCCAGTCCATGGAGTCAATCGGAAAGGACTTGAGGATTGATGTGGTGGAGAAATTGATAGGAAACTGGCATGAGGAATATTACTAAGACCAAGAATGGTGTAAACAGACCAAACCATGCAGTTCTTTGAACCACAGAAAAGGCCGGCCAGCTCATGCAGAGGATCTGACCTTCCACAACCGGAGCAGGTATAGTAGTCTCTGTAAGGCTAATGTATTTGCTATATTGGAGCTGAAATCCACAGGGCAGATAGTGAAGAAGGGAGGGCTAGAAGCTGCAGAATGGGCTAAAAATCCATGTCAACTGTTGCTCTATCTTGGTGCTGTGGATATCCTGCAGAAAGAAGCCAGTGACCACAGCTAAAAATACACGTGGCACAGGAGTCAGAGAAGCTGAAGGAAGGTAAGAACAGTAGTAGGCCCAGCTGTCCCCTCATCAACAAGTTCATCAGCATTTCTGTGACAACATGTATGAGCTAATAAGAGAGCCACTGCTTTACCTCTGCCCTCCGAATTTCATACAAGACTCCCCTGTGGCCCATTCTCACCGGAACCTTACAGGGAAGGGAATTCTAGGACATGTAGGTTAGCCTAACCAAGTTGACACATCACAAGGTCATCATGCCCTCTAAGACCCTTTTACCTGGATCTCTCCCCAGCAACTCCAACTGCATATGACAAAGCTCTTCATCTTCCCTTCTAAACCTCCTCCTCCTCCTCCTCTTTCTGGGTTTCCCTATTTCTAAATAGTACTTTTCTTCTATGATCAAAACTTTCTAATTCCCTAAACTCTTTCTCTCTCATATTCCCATCTTGCTCCCACCAATATGTAACTTAGTTCTAGCGTTTTTACCTCTGCAGTACTGACCCCAGGCGTATGAATTCAAACCCACCAGGTGATCATACAATCCCACACATTGATTTCATACTCAGTTTGCTATCTGCCCCATTTTGGAACCCCAGAAGTACAATGGGCAGCTCTCCCCTCCAAAGGCATGTACAGGCAAATGAGTTATGGTGGAGGCGCTAGCATGCTGTTATCATTATTTAAAGCAAGAAAAACATACTGTAGACAAGATGAAAGATCTAATAAAAATGTGTTCTTATTCCTGATTCTAAAACTTTAACAGCTGGGCTTTCCCATGTGGAGTAATGTTACATAAATAACTCAGCCAGGAAGCAGAAGGGCTGTGAAGAAGTCCAGCAAAATGATCGATGATCTTGGACGCTCTGAATATCACACCCGATGGAGTTACAAGGAAATAAGTGGTCATTAGAAGGTACTAGTGAGCTGGTGCCGGTCTGGTCAGCAGACTTGACAGAACCTGAGTCATGTATCACTAATTCTTCCAGAAGTTTCCCTTCTACTTAAGCATATTGACACTCTCTATTCCATAGGGACTTTTCCTGCTCCATCCAGGTTTGTCATCTTTTAATTAGTCATGGAAATGTAGAGAAATTGGCTCTCAGAAAAGAAAGTTGTTGAGATTTAAGACTGAAACATACTCAATTCTTATGTCTAATTTCCTTTTAAAGGGGACAATATCACACAATACATCCTAGTTAGTATTTCTGTCCACATGATGTAGGTATGGGTCATGGTACACTTCCCACTCCTATTTCTTCCTTCCACTGAAGTATGTATATACTCGCAGTTATGGCACAGATGCCAAAAGGCCTTATGAAAAATATATGAATGAGGAATAGAACTCCAGCCTAAGAAAGTGAGTACTGTTGTTTTCCATTTACCTAAGGGGTACGTGGTGGGAGAGTGATAGATCCAGAACTTCGGGGCAAGTCTCATTTCCCACAGGTTTGGGTTAGAAGATGTCCAAAAGATGTGTTGCTCTGAAAACCAATGACTGTCCTGTATCTATAGTATAGTGAAGTCGTTCTGCACTGACCCCCTACTTCTTTTTCTCAGTAGTTGCTTAAATGCTGACAAAGAGCTTTTAGAGAATGATAATTCACTTGTGGTTTTTTTGTTTGTTTGTTTGTTTGTTTGAGGCACGTTCCTGGAAATCCCACTGTGGTTGGAAGTTCTACTTTGTGAAATTTACCCAGGACTTCACCTTGCCAGAAATTATGTGAGGGCTCACTTCGGTCTTTTTGAAGAGTTACAGGAAACACTGTGTGTTAACAAGAGTGGTCACTTCAGTAGACATGTGCTTGTTACTCCTCCCTCTCCCTAATCCTGAGATTAACCTTATTTATGAATATCAGCAAGAATCAACTCACCCACTGGCTACACCAGGCTCAGGGAAATATCCACATCAACCTGAAAAAAGAAAAGGAGAAAAAACAGGAAGAAAATTACTTCTAGGCTTTTAACTGCTTGTCATTTTCCCTTACTCTGTGCTCTTCATAAGTTTTTACTCATTATGATCCAAGGTAATTTGCCAATGTAGCTGCCCCTCACCTCTAACCACCCTAGCACAGTATGACTCACTGGACAAGAGATGCTTCTATTTTACACTGTTTATTCTTCTACGAGGCTGGTGACGTCTGAATGACAAGCCCTGTGCTTGAGAGATGGCACAATGAAGCCCTTCAGAATCATATGGGAGACAAAATTCCATAGCACCTTTAGTCTCATACCTAGAAATGATTAAAAATGTTTTTTCTCGCTACAAAATTTAAATCTTTAAAGAAAATTTAGGAAATGCAAATACACAAAAAGAAAGAAAGGCTTCCAGTAATCTTACCAGTCCGAAATAACCACCATTAATGACTGATGTAAAGATAAAATATAATTTATTTTTACAAAATGGGATAAAAAATAGTACACGCTATTTTATAGCCTCCCCATTTAACATGAATATCTTTACACACACTATAGATTTTTGCAATTATACCATTTTTGAATAATTAG